TTTATCTACTTGCAATTTCTTGCTTTCGAACTGCTAGGTTGGCAGGAGCTGGAACTAGAGACGGGAGCTCACTCCGTCATGCGGCACACTCGGGTCTCGAACTGCTGAACTACCGACCTTCCACAGCCTGCAGCTCAGCGTCTTAACCACTTGAGCCACCGCAGCTCCTTGCTCTCTTTTTAGCCACCACCTAAAAACCCCTGAGGAGCTGCGCTGGCTCAAGTGGTTAAGACGCTGAACTGCAGACTGAAAGGTCTGTAGTTTGGCAGTTCGAGACCCGGGTGCCGCACGACGGAGTGAGCGCCCGTCTCTGGCCCCAGCTCCTGCCAACCGAGCAGTTCGAAAGCAAGGAATTGCAAGTAGATAAATAGGTGCCACTTCGGTGGGAAGGGAACAGCGTTCCGTGCGCCTCGGAGTCTAAGTCATGCCGGCCACATGACCACGGAAACGTCTCTGGACAGCGCTGGCTCTTCGGCTTGGAAACGGAGATGAGCACCGCATCCCTAGAGTCGGATGTGACTGGCTTTCGAGCGAGGGAACCTTTACCTAAGAAGCCCTGGCCCGGCCAGCCCGGGAAGCTAAGCAGGGTCAGTACTCGGAAGGGAGACCAGCAAGGAAGACTCTTGCAAACTGGAATCAGAAGAAGTGAGCGGGGACTCACCAAAGCTCCTACCCGGCCACAAACTGTGTTAGTCTTTAAGGTGCTGCTGCGCTCTGGTTCTTTTCTAGACCTGCAGACAGACGAACATGGCCTTTATCCATCTGCAAGGAAGGCGATGTGGTAAACTGCCGCCGCTTCTCACTTGCCTGGAAAACACTGGGGGCCTTTAAACAAGTCAGGGGGCACCCCGCACCCCCCCCCCAAGGGAACAGCACACATAAAATTTAAAAATTGGAAGTTGGGGCGGCCTTGACAATAATTTGGGGGGGGGAGGCCCCAGATGTCCCACTGTAGGCAGGCTTGCTTGAAAACCCCTTGCTGGGGTCAGGGTAACCTGACACTTTTCACACACAGACACACACATGTACACGCGGATTGCCAGTTCCCCACCACCACCACTGGCAGAGAATGGGGGGGAGGGTTGCCAGAAACTCCTAGAGATTTGGGGATGGGACCTGGTGGGGTACAATGTCAGAGAGTCCACCCTCCAAAGCATCCCTTTTCTTCAGGGGAACGGATCTCTACGGTCTGGAAATGAGCTGTCTTCCGGGGGATCCCCAGGCCCCACCTGGAGGCTGGCATCCCTAACCAGCA